GAGTTGGTTCATTTCATTCGCTTCTAACTTGCAAATTTTCACATATAGGCGTTTCACACAGGAAACATAACTCTCAAAACAGTAAAAAGAAACCGGAGAGAAGATATTAAAAGCCCAAAGAAAATATCAACCCTCCTGCCAGCCTCATTTTTGTTCTGCTTGGACGAAATTACCACATCAGATTAGTTGGTTGGAGAAATTCTCTCAAAGGTAGCATATATTGGACGGTAAAACATACTGCGTGTAAGATGAAGTTGTAAAGCTAGACATTTTAGCAAACATATGATGGCCATTACCAAAATGAACTTTTTCTTTCAAATTTATTTGAATTCAACTTTCATCCTTAGTCCTTTAACTTTATTAAAAACCTCAAGGCTCCAGCCACTTCCATTCCTTCACAAACATGATTAACCTCCACCACAATCCTTCACCTTAAGCAAAAGAAAATTCTAGCACCTCTCACAATCATTAAAAGATTTCATCAATCATTATCTTCAACCACTCAAATTCTAAAATTCCAAAAAGAAAATAACAAACAAAAAAAAAAAGAAAAGAAAGGAAAGATATTAGATAACACGAAAAGAAGAAAGAGGAAAAAAAGTGTGGAGAGGAGATAGGGAGTCGGAGGCGTCGCCATTAGAGCTTGCCACCATCAAGCAAATTTCACCTATGGCTTTGTATGCTTTTCCCTTAAAAACCCCAAAAAAAAAAAAGAAAAGAAAACAAAATATCAGAAGAGGGGAGGAAGAGGGGCTAGCATAGGTTTTGAGGGTAATGAAGGACTTTCATTAAAAATGTCATGTTGACTCGTTATCCATTTAACGGTCAACCCTGATAAAGTAACGGTAAGGGGCCATTTGTTAGGTTTTTCCAATTGAAGGACCTTCTTGTAATATGGCTAGATCTCAGGGTAAATATAATATGTAGTTTGATTAAACTAGAAGATAGGTTATAAATCAGTACTCCCACTAAATTTGATATTATTAGACGACTAATAGTATATGTAATGCTTACAAGGGTGAGTCAGGGACTGAGGGAATTGTGGCATTGGACTGACCCACATTTTCCTGTCATAAATGTGAGATGCGTTTTCTTGTTGATATTTTAATAAGAGCAAAATGAATGCATGCATAGTGTTGCACTATCAATATATATATATATATATATATATGCAGTGATTAAGAGAATGAAGACCGTTCGATTGGAGGACCTTTTGGCTTGATGGAATTGGGACCCACGAACTCCGCCGATCGATGAGCGGGAGTGACGTGGGTGGGCCTATATTGTTAGTTGTCGTCCAAAGGCGTGGGGCATGCGATCAGTTTGCCGGAAGGGAATAATTCACGCGCGAACCAGTGAAGCGATTAATTTATCTACGCAGGGGAACGCAAGACAGAAACGGCGTCGGTTCCTGAAGGTGTTGACTTTTCAGAGCAGTTTGCAGCCTCCAGCAGTCCTGCTGCAGCTGGGTAGTCCATCCCCGTTACGCTACGCTAGCGAATGGGATGGGGTAGTAATTACTACTAATTAGTTAATAATAATGGTTGATTTGACTGATCAATCGATTACGTAAATCCTTGCAACAGTGGATCAAGTGCCATGCACGTGTACATGTCCTCGGTTGTGCCTATCATGTACCGTTCCGCGTTGGTTGTTAAAAATTTTTTTTTTTTTTTATCGACATCGGTACATTATATAATTTATTTTATCTTAATCTAGGAATTGAGAGTCTAAGGAGACTTGTGCTAGGAGTTAGTGGGTATGCAGATCTAATTAGATCAGAGAAATGCTATGACACTATTCTTAATTTTTTTTTTTTTTTACTGCAGGTGAGATTCGAATCCTCACCTACGATCCAGGAAAGGACTTAAATTAGAAGAATTGAAAAGCAACATCATCTTAGTATAATTGTGTCGTGTAAAGCCGGTCCGGACGTGGGCAAAAAAGAAAAAAAAAAGGTAAAAAACTGCTAGGCTAGACATGACATGTTTGGTTGGTGAAAGCAACAAATTTGGCTCTTCATGAGATGCAGGCAACGGACCAACGAAAATGGAATATGCCAGCCACGAATAAGTTTTAATTTATTACCTTGTCATTATTATAAAAGGCATAAAATGGGATTATGAACTTACGACCATGATCATCCACGCAACTCCAGCGTCCAGAAGATTTTTACCTGAATGACTCCGAAATGGCATCTGCAGAATCATGTCAAGCTTCATTCCTTAACTAACACGACGGTTTAAGGAATTTGGTCGGGAGGGATGACTTCTTAAATAGTTAAAAGTCCCTCCCGAGAACATCAGGATGAGGGTTCACGCTCGGTGGTACATATACAAAAGGATGTTTAGGTTTTATCTCTCTTAAAAATTTTAGACTGTGTAGTAATGCACTTGTCTAATTTGAAACGTCCAACCTTTATTTTTTTCACACGGCGTTGTTAAGCTCTTCTTTTCCCCTATAACTTAGGAGTGAGATCGATTTTGGCGTTTGAGAAAAAAAAATAATACTAAAAGGTTTCATACCGTAATTATTTTAGTTTGCTTGGAGTTAAGTTGCTTGACTGATTTAGACTATTGGTGCTGTTTGTTAGACGGGCCAAATTCTTGCCGCCGGTGGAATGAAATGTTACATTTCTTCTTAATAAGAACCATAGAAAAAGACAAATAAAGACATGACAACTGGATCCAGCTAAAAGGCTGAAAATTTCTCGACCTTCTCCTCCTTTTTGAGAGAGAGAGAGAGAGAGAGAGAGAGAGAGAGAGAGAGAGAGAGAGCTAGTAGCGTGTTTGCTATCAAGATGGATGGAGAGGCAGCAACGTCATCATGCCCGGGAGAGCGGCAGGGACGGTTACTAGAGATGGCAATGGAAGCAGGCACTCGTCCCGCGGGGGGCTTAGGGAGAGGGGGTTGAGGCAGGGGGTGAAGCGGGGGCGGGGAGAATTTTTTTTCCCCACTTAGAAACGGGGCAGGGGGCGGGGATACATGCTTTAAAAAATAAATATATAAAATATATATGTATATAATTATATATAATATATATAATTTAATTAGTTACAAATTTATGATAATGATATTATTAGTTATATGTATTATATAATGTCTATTAGTATATATAATAGATTTGATATTATTAATTATACGAATAATTATATATGTGTACCAATACAAATTATTAATTGGTTATACTAAATTTACTAATATATTTATACTAAATCTCTAATTACACTTAATACAATAACATTTTTTTCTTAAAAAAAAAGCATAAGTACAATAATGAATTAGTGGTTGTATTTGTGCCAAAAGTGAAATCTTGACTACTTTAGTTATATTTATTTCGTCATGTTGGATTGTATTTAAATAATTTTTATTTGATTGTTTTTATAAGTTTCGATTGTAAAATTACAATGAATAATAATTTGATGATGTGTTGATATTTTAGTACTTGATTATTTGCTAAAATTTAATCATAATAAAATTATATAACAAATTTTTATTAATCCCGCGGGGGCATCCGCGGGAAAAGCGGGAAGGGACGGGGGGAGCGGGGGACGGGGGATGGGGCGAGGACGGGGGAAGTTTGTAGGCGGTGGAGCGGGGGATGGAGGAGGGATCCCTTGCCCCGTTGCCATCCCTAACGGTTACCGTCCCTGTCAGTTAATGGCCAAGATTTAGCCAACAAAATTTGTAAGGTCCAGATTTTAATGTGTGTGGGACCCATAAAATGTTGTACTGTTACTCGCTGTTGTTCTAGTATTACATTATATATAAATGATGTTATACCATGTGTAAAATGCACACAAGCTTTTATAACGATTGCACTGACAACTGTTCGAGCCTCGGTGCATCATGCCCAACCAGAAGGTAAAAGAAAATGCGAACCGGTTTTGCTGCTCGAGTCGATATATGCAGTTCTTATCCTCGAGATGATATGTTTGGGCGGATGAGTGGATATTAGAGGTTCGATGATTCCAACTTTGGCCCACAGGATCCATGCCATTGATAGCGACCAAATGTTTAATGATACTCACACCTCTTGTTCGTTTAATCAAGATGGTCGGAACCAATTAATGGTGAGGTGAGAGGGGTAAGTATTCCAGTTGAGATTGAATTTTTTTGAGTTTATTGCCATTATGATCTTCCTCTTAAAAAATATTTCCAAACTAATGCAATTTCAAAATTTATTCCCTTGTTAATATATTTGCTGCCATGTGGACTTTAAAGATGGAAAACTAATCACGCTTAAATTTTGGCTCTGATAATGATCATAGTTTAGTATGAACTATAAAAGTTTCATTTTAAAGGAAAAAAGAAATGAAAAAAAAGTCTCTGCATTTTTTTGACTCATCACAAAGAATCTAAGTCATAATTAACATTAGAATTAACACCAAGGTTAGTTAATTGTCGATATCTGGAAAAGTTATCATTATGCATTCTAACAATAAAAAATCATGAATTAACACAATAGATCTCTAAAGATTTATGTTTATCTGTATGGCAATTCATCATACACAAGGTAAGAAAATTTTTTAGTTGGTATGACGATTTAAGAAATTTTCAAATATATTAAGAATTTCCTCAAGGTAGGCAATGAACAATATATAGAGAAGAAGTAGCAAAATTTGAGCTATTGAAAAATAATGAAGAATTCTTCTAATGTGAATGTTAATTAAGCTCTTAAGAGTAGTGACACTTTAATGTGTGACGGCCCCACCTCTCCCTAAGGCGTACCAAAGGGTTCGGCGGACCGCCTGCCCAGCTCTCGCCAGGACTCACTCACTATCTCAATCGAATCGTATATACACAACCATGCACCATAAACAATATTCACGATTCAACTTATAATTTACATTGATAGGAATCGAGTTTCAAAGTCTTAATACACCAAACTAGTACAAATGTATACAATCCAAGTACAACATATTTCGTTCGAGGAATAGCGCGAGTACAAGACCAAAAAGTCAAAAGTCAAAACAAAAGGCTACACTAGTCTTTTACAAGTCTCTCGCGTTACTCGTACCCCTGTAAGGAAAACAAACTAACGGGGTGAGCCAAAGCTCAGTGGAGTTCCCAAATATCAAATTGGTCAGCAACCAAGTTATAGTAAAATAAAAGTGAAGTAGCGAGCAAGCAAGTCAAATCAGGGAAATAATACTTCAGCTAGTCAAGTAGTATTAGATGCACATTCACATATAAGGATACGGTATTCATGTTACGGCTCCATTCCAGCTTGGTCAAGTGGTAGTTGACACTCCGTCAACTTTCAAGTAATTCCAAGTCCAAATAAACTCCGCTACACGCCAATTTCCGTCCACCGATCAACCCCCTATCCCGGGCCCGCACGCCATACAAACATGGGTGGTAATACTCGAGTATACCGTTAGTCGAGGAGATAACACTCCACTCGACATTACAAGTGACCCAGGGTTTGTTATCTAATCGACCAGGCCCTTGCCGGCTCGACTCGATTAACTCGCCACAGGGTTTCTGGAATTTCAGGCAAGATAAAATTCAAGTACATGTACAACAAGTTAAGTATGATCAATAGCAAGAACAGGTCATATTAGGGCAAGTGCGATAAAGTACACCCTTGCCCTTTCATTCATTGTCATGTAATCACGCAAGTCAAGTAGGGAGTACACATATCAAGTACAATCGGATATTTGGAAGCACTCACCACAATAGTGCTTCTAGTTTTCGCGTCGAGGTGGTACTCCGGGTTGGGAGTCCAAATCTGCGATAAAACTTTACTTGAGAACTTTGAAATCAACCAAGGTTCGAAACTTAAGCGTTTCGTTCAATAAGAATCAAGAATTTGAAAGTCACTGGAGAAGAGTCGTGAAATAGTTGCTCGCTCTTTAAACTGAAAAATTTGATAACATTTTTGCTTGAAGATGACTCTTGAGTCAAAAGTGCAAGTAAAACGGTTTCGTAATGTTTCATATCGTTTTCCTAAGGGTACAAGTTCGACCAATTCCTAACATATAACCCTTGATAAACAAATGACAAAGGTCCTCGATAGTTCAAGGATTAATCACTTAACCTTCACTCAAGTCGCAAAGATAGTTTCCTAGACTTCGAGTAAAAATTCGGACAGCGTGCCCTTTGTGTTTACCTAATTTCCAGCCATTTAGGCTTCATTATTTTTCTTCAACAACATCCCAACATCATACAATCAGCAATTTATGTCAAGAGCCGTTCCATAGGCTCACAATATCATAACAACAAGAATCGTATTAAGTACAAGTGCAGAAACGCAATTCAGTTCAAGACAGATTTGACGTACAGATGCGGAAATACCATATCCGAGGCTACGCTTGTCGGATTAAAACAAAACCTACGCCGTTTCGAAGCTAAGACACAGAGCTACAACATTCACGAAGGTCACTTAGTCCATTTCCTAATGTAACTTAGTCAAAATCTCAGATTACTAAACCAGAAACCAATTCACCGGCAGTTTAAACGCATTATGCTGTAACGGACCTAACTCAGTGTACACAAGTCCGAATCAGGTTTTCTTTGAGGCATTTTAAAGCTACTTCAGAACACTACAACTTTTATGTTTTGGCCCAGAGCTAAATCAGAATGAATCCTGGTCAAAAATCGTGATAAACTGGACTGAACTGAAGAAACGGACTGCTGGGAAATACCTTGAACAGTAAGGGTATTTTGGACTTTTCACATCCTACGTTGCTCCGATTGAGCTGAAATTTTACAGGCACCTACAAAATACCATTCCCTACAACTTTCCTTCTTTGACCAAAGGCCAAAACAGCCTCTAACATATACCTAAAAATTCGGACAGAATGCAAGCAGAAATTTTCCAGATTCTGGAATTTGTTGTTTTTAGTGAATCTTTCCTTAATTTCTTGGCCCAATCACTACCAAAACACCATATAACACCTCAACTGCAACATATAAACATCATACAATCATTTGGGCAGAAAATCAGAAACCCTAGTTCATCACACAAATTGGGGAAAAACTTCTACACATGCTAGCATCCATGAATCTACCACCAATCAAGCTACTAAGCTTACTTTAACCATGATTGAAAGAGAAAGTTAGAGAGATATCATCCTCTTACCTTGATTAAGAGTCACCAAGAGTAGCACAAGCTCTTCCCTTCAAAACTCACACCACCACTCACTAGCTAGTCACTAGAAAACAAGTTTAATCGGTTTACTTCGCTTGATTCCTCACTTATTTGTTGGAGTTGGAGATGAAATGAAGAAATCTTCCTTGGTGTTTCTCTCCTTGCTAAGTTCGGCCAGACCAGCAGAAAATGAAGAAGGAATGGCTAAGTTTTGGACTTAAGTGGTTAGCAATGGTCTTGGTTAAGAAGCCATGAGGTGGTGACAAGTGTCACCACCACCACCCTTTCTTTTTCTCTTTCTTTCTTGCCTTTCTTAGCCACAAATTTCGGTCAACATGCTGCCAAGAGAGAAGATATTATGTACAAAAGTCAACAAACTTGTTGGGTAAGAAAAATGGTGGTCAAGCGGTGCGTTCAATCGGTAATGCGCGGGACCCGCCGGTTCGCGCCGTTTTCTTAAAAACTCACGTACTAGGGTTTTTACCTCCCATTCACTAACCTTATATCATTGCTACTACTCACATATTATTTCTCACTTAAAAGTCACCTTTAATCATAAAATTGATCCTTGGCCAGTACCGAAAATTCATCCGGCGGAAAAATCGCAAAAACCCTAATTTTGCTCAAAACTTGAAACCAAAGCGAAAAACCTTATTTTCTAGGTTTATTTACACTTAGTGTGATATAATGAGGTAGGGGGCCTTAATAAATAATAATTTTCAAATAAAAGGCATTTTTGAGGAAAAATGTAGGAAATTTGCGGGTCCTCACATCCTCTCCCCCTTAAAAGAATTTCGACCTCGAAATTCATACCTTTTGTCGCGAACAGGCCAGGATACTTTTCTTGCATATCCGTTTCTAGCTCTCAAGTTGCTTCTTCCACTTCATGATGCTTCCATAGTACCTTTACTAAAGGAATCTGCTTGTTTCTCAAGTCCTTCACCTTTCGATCCAGTATTTGAATAGGTCGTTCTTCATAGGTTAAAGACTCGTCAAGTTCAACATCTTCGGGTGGCAAAATGTGAGTCGGATCCGGATGGTATTTCTTAAGCAAAGAGACGTGGAAAACGTCATGGATCCTAGATAGGCTAGCTGGTAACTCAAGTCGATAAGCCACCTTTCCTATTCGTTGTAGCACATTGAAAGGTCCTATATATCGTGGTTGCAACTTTTTCCCTTTTCCGGATCTAATCTTTCCCTTCAATGGTGTGATCCGAAGAAACACCTTATCTCCTATTTCAAACTCCAAGTCTTTCCTCCTATGATCGGCATAGCTTTTCTGACGGCTTTGGGCGGTTTGAAGTCTCTGGCGGATCACTCTCACCTTTTCATAGGCTTCCTCAACCCATGGTATAGTAGCTGGATCTATGACTTTTCTCTCTCCTACGTCATCCCAATGGATTGGAGATCGACAACGTCGTCCATACAAGGCTTCATATGGGGCCATTTGAATAGAGGAATGGTAACTATTGTTATACGCGAACTCAATCAAAGTCAAGTATTGGCTCCAACTTCCTCCAAAATCCACAATACAGGCTCTCAGCATATCCTCAAGAGTTTGAATAGTTCTCTCAGATTGTCCATCAGTTTGCGGGTGATACGCTGTGCTATAACTCAGCTTAGTTCCTAGAGCCTCTTGTAGTTTCTGCCAGAATCGGGATACAAACCTAGGGTCTCTATCAGATACAATGCTTACTGGTACCCCATGTAGTCTCACTACCTCATCCATATAAATTTTAGCAAGTTTCTCCAAAGGATATTTCATATTTATTGGCAAGAAATGTGCAGTCTTAGTCAATCGATCCACTATTACCCAAATGGCATCATGCCCCTTTTGTGTTCGTGGCAATCCTGACACAAAATCCATCGTTATGTGCTCCCACTTCCACTCAGGGATCTCTAAAGGCTGTAACAAACCTGACGGCTTTTGATGCTCAGCTTTTACCTGTTGGCACGTAAGACATTTTTGCACAAACTGGGCAATCTCCGCTTTCATTTTCTCCCACCAATACAGATTCCTAAGATCTTGATACATTTTATTATTTCCTGGGTGCACCGTATACCTAGAGCAATGTGATTCCTCTAAAATCTCCCTTTTCAATTCCTCATCCCTAGGTACCACGACACGATTTCGAAACTTTAATATTCCATCAGGGCTTAGATTAAAATTAGGTAACTCCCCTTTCTTCACTTTCTCTACCCACTTCTGCACTATTGGATCCTTCACTTGGCCCTCTTTGATTCGTTCCATCACTGCCGATTTTGCCTCAATATTTCCAAAAACCACCTTTTCCGGTTCCAAACGAGGTTTCCACTCACATACATCTTCCAATAGGCTCCACTCTCTCACTATAGAACTTGCTAGTTGAGCCTTCCGGCTTAAAGCATCTGCTACAACGTTGGCCTTTCCAGGATGATAGTTAATTGTACAGTCATAATCCTCTAAGAACTCTACCCACCGACGTTGTCTTAGATTTAACTCCTTCTGAGAGAACAGATACTTAAGGCTCTTATGATCCGTATAAACCTCAAAAGTTACACCATAAAGATAATGTCGCCATTTCTTCAAAGCGAACACTACAGCTGCAAGTTCTAAGTCATGAGTCGGATAATTTTGCTCATGAGTTTTTAACTTTCGGGATGCGTAAGCAATCACATTCCTATTCTGCATCAACACGCACCCTAGCCCTTCTTTTGAAGCATCGGTATAAACCGTATAACTATCCTTTCCACTGGGCAAAGCTAAAACTGGAGCCATAGTCAATTGTTTCTTAAGCTCTTGAAAGCTACTTTCACACTTAACATCCCAATTATATTTTCCTTGTTTCTTGGTCAGGTTAGTCAAGGGTCCTGCAATTCTCGAGAAATTCTTTATAAATCTGCGGTAGTATCCTGCTAAGCCTAGAAAACTTCGAACCTCTGTGGGATTTTCTGGCCGCTTCCACTTAGCCACAGCTTCCACTTTCGCCGGGTCTACAGCAAGGCCATCTTTTGAAATTATATGACCTAGAAACGCCATTTCTTCCAACCAAAATTCACACTTACTGAACTTAGCAAATAGTTGGCGCTCTCTTAGGGTTTGCAATACTATCCGCAAATGTTGTTCATGCTCCTCCCTTGACCTCGAATATACCAAGATATCATCAATGAACACCACTACAAACCTATCCAAGTAAGGTTTGAACACTCGATGCATCAGATCCATGAATGCTGCTGGGGCATTGGTTAAACCAAAAGGCATCACTGCGAACTCAAAATGCCCATATCGAGTATTAAACGCCGTTTTTGGCACATCCTCCTTCTTAACTCTCAATTGATAATACCCTTGTCGCAGGTCCAACTTAGAGAATACCACAGCCCCTTGTAACTGATCAAATAACTCATCTATGTGGGGCAAAGGATATTTATTTTTAATGGTTACTGCATTCAATCCTCGATAGTCAATACACAACCTCAAACTTCCGTCTTTCTTTTTAACAAATAACACTGGAGCTCCCCACGGCGACTCGCTCTCATGTATGAACCCCCGTTCTAGCAAGTCCTGTAATTGCACCTTTAATTCCTTAAGCTCAGCAGGTGCCATACGATAAGGGGTTTTAGAGATGGGAGTGGTTCCGGGTACTAAATCAACCTTAAATTCAATCTCCCTTTCGGGTGGCAAAGACTCCAATTCTTCCGGAAATACGTCCGGGTATTCACTGATTACTGGCATGTCTTCCAACTTAGTCTTTTCTCCCGGAGTGTTAATTAGGAAAGCTAGGTAACCACGAGCCCCACGACCAAGCAACTTCCTAGCCCTTATACCCGAAATAAGTGCAGAAGAGGCTATCATACCCCTCACATCAAGCTTTAGAGTTGCCTCTCCTGGTATACAAAATTCGACCACTTTCATCTTACAATCTACCCGAGCATGATAGTGAGCTAACCAATCCATACCTAGGATAACATCGTACCCCTTAATGGCTAGACTAATGAGATCCACTACCAATTTCCGTTCGCCAATCCAAATATCACAATTCCTATACACCTCATTCGCAAGCAAAATTTGACTACCTGTAGGTGTTCTTACCTCTAAGTCATAAGGTAACCTTTCAACTTTCGAGTCAATTCCAAGCATAAATGCAGGATTAACAAAAGAGTGAGTAGCACCGGGGTCTATTAGAATTCTAGCTAACCGGTGAAAAACAGGGATTGTACCTTCTACCACCCTGGTTGGTTCAGGCACAGTGGTTTGATCTAGCGAGTACACTCTGGCCGGTACCCTCGACCTGGCCCCTCCAGCAGTAGTCGGCTTTGGGTTTGACCTGGCAGTCGACTGAGTGTCATTGATTAGCGGACAATTGACCATCTGATGATCCGCACTTCCGCACCTCAAACACTTTCGAGCCTTTCTCCAGCACTCGTCCTCCGTGTGGTTTGATTTTCCACAATACCCACATGTCACTCGGGGAGTGGAGGTTTGACCTCCCTGAGTAAAACCTCTACCTTGACCTCTACCGCCCTGGCCTCCCCTCTGGGCATTCCCTCTCGGAGCACTGCCCCTAAACGTGTTCGAAAATCGTCCACCTCCGACTCCACGACCGGATTTAGCGGGTGGCATGCTCCGCTCGCCTCGTACCGACCCTTGGGCTCCACTAGGTGCCCCTTTCCGCTTAGCGTGGAAATTCCTTACTTGCGTCCTAGCAGTTTCTATCCTCATGGCCTTCTCCAGAACCTCCGTAAAAGTATTGATTTGGACCGCTGCTAAGGCTTCTTGCAATTCCACATTTAATCCTTGTATAAACCTCCGCACTTTTCTCGGCTCCGTAGCTATCAGTTCGGGAGCAAATTTGGACAACTTGGTAAACTGAGTCTCATACTCAGTTACACTCATCAGTCCCTGACGGAGTTTAATGAATTCGTCCTCTCTCTTCTCCTGGACGATGGGTGGAAGGTATTTTTCGTTGAAGTCCCGTACAAAGTTTAGCCAAGTCCAGGCGGTTTCCTCTCTCTCCCACTTGGCCCTTACTACATTCCACCAAGCCCTAGCTGGCCCTTCAAATTGGAATACGGCAAATTGGACTTGTCTCTCCTCAGTGTAGTTTAGCGCAGCAAAGATATTTACCATGGCCTCCATCCATTTCTCAGCCTCATACGGGTCTGGTCCTCCTAAGAATTTGGTGGCGAGAATTTCTGGAATCTCTCCAA